AGTCTTCTTAGAAGCAATTTAGCTGGAGTTTGAAACAGTTTCTTTCATTTCTGCATACAGTTATTATTTAAATGGTTAGCATGCTTTGCAGTATTTTGTATTAATTAGTATATTATTTGTGTGATAATCTTATTGAATAACAAATTGTTTGTCATGGATATGGACCTACGGTCTTATTTGCAGTTTCTTTAACATAATACAACATGTAATGAATACTTTGATTTCCTCAGGTAATGTTTGTATGAATATACTGATGAAAGTGTAAGGATATTGCTAATAGAGTGACTACAGTACAAGTGTGCAGGATTTTTTTAAAGCATACACCAACTATTACATTTATGACAATGAAATGCAGTTTTGTTCCCCACCAATGGTGAATTTACTGCCTTTGTTTTGTGAATTGTTTTTTCAGTTCTGTTGACATGTCTTTGCTTGTGCAGGGTAGATACAATAAACCTGAGAAACATACTTAAGTAATCCACAAAATAAATCATTCATCATTCTCTTTCTTCAGATGAAATGTTCCCATTTCAATGGTTTTGAAAAATAAATCTCATCTCACAATTAGTTAGGAGCTAAAACATGATGGTAGGATAGTTGGTGGACGTAAAATGAATGGTTCAGTGGTTCCAAACAGGGACTATTGGGGAGAGAAATGTGGACCAGGAGGACCCCTTTTCCATCAAATTAGCTCTGGTTCTTGAACCGGTTCCGTTCAGGATTCAACAACAGTCAACAAATAATCCTATTAAGAATAAAGCTGCCTCCTGTGTGAACTGTCTGCAGCTGAACAGGGTCGGCCTACACTGCTGTATTTTAAAATCGGTCATAATGGTGGTACTTGGAGAGACTGATATTTACTGAGGTGGTACACGGAAACAATGCTATAGATAATCTGTTACAGACAAAGGAAAAATATTGAAATGTTACAAATACTCTACAAGTAGGCTGACTATCCAAATCAAGTGTTTGCTATGAATATGTAGTTTCATTGGTGCTTTCACACACTGGGAAACCAAGTCTTTGTCTCCTTTGCATTATTCACCTGTAGCTCAATGCTTCCCTCTAGTGGACAAACACAGGACTGATGCTCAATCTGTAACAGTGGGCCAAGATTTAATTAAAGAAAAAAAAAAAACCTGCTCAGTCAGGGGTGAGAATTAGTGGAAAACATATTTGTTACTGCTGAGAGGTTGCTTATGTGCACCCAATAAGTAACTTCTCATGTACTACTGTAAGTAGCAAATATGACAGCTATTTTTTTTTTATAAAAATGACCTACTACAGCTTTAAGTGATGGAGGTTAGTCTGAATAATGAGGCTGAAAGAATACATACAATGTTTAATGTATTTAACGTGCATATTCAACCTTTGCACCCGCATTTGTGTGAAGATGAAGATGTGTGTATTTGTTAGAAAACATTGTGAGACTCATTGTAATGCCACTGCCACTCGCATACTTAACATGATCCTTTTATCTGATGTTTCGTTGCCTTTTACACTTGTCTAAGAGAAAAGCCTTTTACCTTTATTTTTTTTTATAGTTTTTAATATATCCTGCTAACTCGCAAACAGGAGCAGCACTGGTGGAGATTATCTTCCCCGCCTGGACTGCTGTGACGTGTGCAAAACATACAAGCGACTCCCTCAAATGACACATCACAATGGTAGTTTTCAAAATACATTACCATCATGATTATTTTATTATCAAAAAGCATTACATCTCTTGCTTCTTAAACCTTTTGGAGGGGAACAATTGAAATAGTTACTACTATGATCTGTGTAAAAATAAATCCAAACCAACAGAATGATCTTTACACAACAAAAAGAGAATGCAGCGTCTGGTTTTCGGAGGAACCCAGGAACAGACCCAATGATCAGCTTCCAACCGTCTGACAGAGTTGGTCACTCGGACCCTAATAACAAATATCATGCGATAAATTCAGTGTACTATATTTTCTCCATACAAGTCTATATCACATTTCTTTCTATACAAGTACACATAATCATACATATTGTCCTATTGTGTCTTTTAGGTTGTATTTCTTTCATTTTTAAGGTGCTGGTTAATTTTGGGTCACAACTTTATTTTTTTTCAATTTGTCAAACATTCATGTAACACGAGTACCCTTCTGTGTGTTTGCGGACTGAGGGGAGGAGGGGCGGTGGGTGTAGTGGCGGGTGGGGTCCAGTCTCATGACCGGGCCCTCGGTCCTCGAAGCTTTCCCACACGAACGCAGACGTTTTGTTTCCACATCCGGTCCAAAATAAAAGTCTCAGAGGGAGGAGAGGGCGACTCCTGCTGCCGCCCAGCTGTCAGCTTAACGTCGGTTTGAGGTCCCACTGTGGCGGTCAGGAGAACTGTCTCTTTATTACAAGTCAGTTTGTGAGTTAAAAAGGAAAAATAAAAATACAGCATTCTGTGGAAAGGGAAGCAGCTCTCACACGAGAACATAGCAGCTTTTTTAAAACCTAGGTTTTATAAACAATCCAAATACTCCCTCAGAGATCCCTTCCCCGATTTTCCTCGGTGTCAAACGGAATGCAAGGATTGGTCAGGGAAAAAACCAAACATATATTTAAAGAAATCCTGCAGGATAAAAACCCAACATTTTATCTTAGAAATTACATTGGATTGTTCGCCTCTCATTTTGTTCCTGCATCCCACTCTAGAATATATAATTAGTATGAATTTGGAAAACTTGTTCCAACTGATTTAATGACAAGATGAATGCAGCCATATGTGGGGAACATAACTGGATTTCAAATTTATTGGAAAAAAAAAAAAAAAAACAAGAACGCAGCACCATGAATCATAAGACCTGTATGTCTCAAGTACAATATCAGAAGTCTACAGTGAAGTAGTCCTAATGTGAAATCAAAAAAGTCCAGTGGGGATGAGAGAACAGAAGAGAACCCAAAACAACAGAACATTGGAACAGACGGAGGGAAAAAAAGGGCTGTTTTCATGTTTAGTGAGAGAACACGGAAACTGGTAATCACATGGAATGATCCTATCCAGGGAGGACCCCTCCTCCCCGCCTCTCTAATGCATCTTTAGAACGGATGATTAACATGTCGCCTTCGCTTGCATTGTTTCCCCCTCTTTCCAAATCAAACACTTATTTACTGCAGCACAGACTCGGCCACTTGCCAAATCAAAAAAGTAACGACAAAAACAAAAACAAAAAATCAAAAATAAAACAACTCTTGCTTTCAGTTACATATGCATCTCAGCATTTATCCAACCTGGGTACCATGATGACAGGTACGGCTTTTTATAACTTTGTACAGACATTTGTGTGGAAGTTTTTACTTTCCGACATTACAGAGCCTGTTTGCACAGTCCGGCACATGAGGAAACACTGGGGACAATTTCAAGTTACATGTGATTTCTTGGTTATTTTTTTCAGAATGTGTCATCCAAATTGGTTTTTCCACTGGTTCCGTAATGATGTCCAAAGTCAATGATTAGCTTTGTGCAGAATGTGGTAATTTGTTTTGTTTTTTTGTAAATAAAGAAAGAAAAGACAGAAAAAAAGAAAAGGAGAAAAGGAGAAAAGGAGAAATCTGTAAAGAAGTCCTTGCTCCTCTTGGGTCTGTACATTTCCCCTCCCCAAACTCCCTGAGCCCCATTTCACCGCAGGGGTTGAGGAGGTACGCAGCTTCATACACACTCACACACACACACACACACACACACTCGCACATACGCACACACTTGAACAAGGTCCTAAAAGCTTCCTGACTGTGTCCTTACTCCGGGTCCCTGGAGCGGGGAGTGCTGGAACTGACTGAGGCTTGACCCTCGCTGTGGGTAGTGTGTCGGTCCGGAGGCCGACAGCAACCTGGGGCCGGCCTGCAGCGCCGTCTGGCCCGGGCTACCCGACTTCAGGCTGCGAGATGCCTGCTGGCTCCCTCTGGAGGCCTGGGCACCCGAGTCTATTTTAGTCTGCCCGTGGGCCCTGGGTCCTGGGGCGGGAGACCCCGGCAGGCCGCTGCTGTTCAAAAGGCTCGCTTTTAAGTGGCTGTTGCCGTAGCCGTGGCCACCGTCCACGTTACTGCTGCCACTCTGCTGGTGTAGAGAGCCCGCTGGCAGCCTGGAGTCTGAGGAGGAGGAGGAGGAGGAGGACGAGGAGGAGGACGAGGAGGAGGAGGAGGAGGACGAGGAGGAGGCGGGGTTGGTTGTGTGACTGGGGTAGCAGGATGGAGGGTGGTCCTGGGACAGTCCCGGGTGAGAGGAGGAGAGGCGTGGGTAGAAGCTCTGGCCTGATGAGGGACTGTAGGAACCCCGGAATGGAGAGTTGGAGGTTTGCTGGATGAACGACGGGCTGTCGGTCTGCCGGTGACTTTCTGATGACTGAACACACAAAAAACACACACACTCACTCTTCTGTGACAATTAAACATTTCAATTAAATGCAAGTATCCATGCTTTGGACAAAGCAAGATAGCATCTGCAGGTATTCACTTACAAAGTAAAACATATTTACCTTGTTAAAAACATATATATGAATATTAAAAATAGTGCTAAATTAGGGTTTATGAACCTTTAATGATGGACTGGACATTATTATTTACCAGCAAGTTGGATACACAGAACTGCAGGAAAAGGCAGGATTTCTACTCATAATTAGCATTTAGATGAGGGACACATTCAATAAATTAGCACTAGCAAAGATGTGGGTCAGGAAATGATCATTACTAGGGATGAGTACAGCATTATCTGTATCTGTTCAATCAACTGCATTTTCTGTATCCATACAAGAGGAAGTGTGTGGGGGCCTAACCCCAAGTTGTTCATTTAAGCCTGAAATTGATATGGGTTGATCAGTTATATTTAGCAGAAAACTATATACAGAACAGCCTCATGATTGAGCTAAAAGAGTGAGAGAACTATTTTCAGAACAGAATTTTAAAAAAAGAAAAAGGTTGCTATATATTTACAAGTACAGATATTGGCACATTTTACTTAATGACAGCCTACTCGTAAAAAGTACATTAACCACGCTCGCCCAACCCTCCTAATTACTTCCATATGATTTAAATGCAACATTGTCATGGAATCATGGCTAATGCATCAGATTCAAATAAAATGTTGCCAAAAGGCACTGGATTTGATCCATGTGTGTCTTGACTACAAACAGCAACACAGAAACAGACTAAACATGGCAATGGTCATCAGGCAACTTGTATACTAATGTCATTGTGACACAGTATCCGGACAATTTGTTTGCATCGAGTGTAAATGGTTTGTGCAGGATACCTGGTGTGAGTACACAGAGGGACTGTATCTTTGTGGACTCTTCATGGGAGAAGCCATGGCCGCTGCCTGCATCTCATATCGATCTGCATCTGCAGACACAGAAAGGAAAATTACAATAGCACTGAAGAAAACAAGAACACGTTAGGGAAGTATGTTGATAATCCATGTCATTTTTTAAGAAATTTTTTTTTTTAAATTCTCTGATTTCAGCTTCTCAAATGTGAGTATCCTGTGGTCTCTAATCCTCTATGACAGTTAACTGAATAGAGGATGTCAGCTTGGGCTTTGGGAAACACTGATATTCTGAAATTTTTTGGACCAATCAACTAATGGATTAATTGAGAAAATGACTTGTCATGTAGTTACTTGTATCTAGTTATTAGGTCTATTCTTTGTTTTTGGTACAACATACTGTGAAACTTCTAATAATAGCCCGGGCGTTTATTTGTTTCAATCACTGAACTCACCCGGCCTTTATTAGAACGTGAACATTTGATCACGTGAATGATTTATGGCAGCCAGCATACAGACAGCGAGCAACACACACACAACATGACAAAAATTCAAACACTTTGATTCTTTTGATTGGTCAACACTTACGGACTAAAGGAACATAAATAATGGAGGAATGGACACAGAACTTGCTCCAGCAGGCGACCTGGTTGGTCAAGATAATTTCTAGAACAGGCCAGTAAAAGAGACCTGGGTCTAATTGGGATCCTGCTTTTATTACAAGTTTTACGGTGGTTGTGGCTTTGTCAGTTCATTTCTCTGCATGGATGTCTTCATACCAGATTCCTTCTCTGCTGAGCCATCACTTCTCTTGTAATTCCGCTCCATCTTGATGCTTCTTAGCACTCGCTCCAGAACCCCCTGACCTTCCCTTAGACGTTCAACAGTAGTTGGAACCATCCTTGGAAAAACACAATCCAAAGGTTATCAGACAGCTATTAAAACTTCCAGAATGTGCATGTCATATGCGACATGTACTGTGAGCCATTATTGTGGGCCTCTCACCACTGGTTGTTGCTGTCCTGGCGTCTGGACTGCACTGACGAGCCCTGGTGGTCTGGAGGACTGACCTCCTCTATCTGCGGGATGGAGGTGTGTGTTGAGGAAGAGAAGGAGCTGTGTGGGGAAGCCGGGGGATACATCTGCTGATGGGAATGGGGTTGATGGGGTTGATGGGAGTCCTGGCTGTAGTGAGAGCCAGGCCGGGTGGGGGTGCCACCCAGAGACGAGCTGCTCCCGACAGGCTCCGAGTCGCGACCACTTCCCTGCTTCCTCTTACGGTACTCCAGCAATGACACCTGAAGCAGCAGAGGGAGGGGGGGCGCTATTAAAGGACTGACACATGGTCTGGTGCTTATACTACTTCATGTCATTCACACTGATGCTGGGCCGCTGACTGAATCACATCATTCACCAAAACTGCACTGAGTGATGGGCAGACCGCATGCACCACACCAGAGAGGACTCACCTGGAAAACAGTATTTACTCTTCAATGCCACAGAAAGAAAAACACACCTTCATCACCATGGAAATTACCTTTGACATGAAAATGACACTGTATGCATCTCTGCTTTGGTTCCATTCCATTAAGAGTTGAGAAAAGGCTCAAATACAGCATACTGCAGATCACTGTGTGTCCTCAATGCACTGTTAGTAACATACAGCATCTAAAGCTTTTGACGAAAGAGCAGGCAACTTTAAATGCGCCACGCAATGATGCAACCACACTGAAACAACAACTACACAAACACTCATATCAACGTCCACAGGAAGTTTGAGCACACACACACACACAACATATACACACCTCCACTATTAACAATGAGAATGAGAGCACTCATCCCAGCTTAATGTCGTCATGACACAGAAAAGGCTTGTGGGAACAAAGTGGGGGTTTATGAAAAAGGTAGGGGAGAGGGGTGATGACCACACAGTCAGATACTGACATGGATGGCTCTTGTCTGAATCTTTGTGATAGCGATAATGTTATATACTAGGGAGCGACAAATAAATAGCCTCCGATATATATTTATATATACAGTATTTAAACCCTTTAAGAGCTGGCCACCATACATGTCTTTCTTCTTTCAGGTCAGGTTTAGTATGCTGCTGTAGTTTTGTATCAACAAGGTCTCTGATTGGTTCCGTCCCAGTTAAATGAAACAAAAACATAAAAACTAAAAGGAAAAGTACAGTTAATAACAACTTGTAGCTGCGGCCACCTATCTATTGGTTTTGATATATTTGTACAACCCAGGTTAATCAAACTTACTTAATTAATTAAAACTAAACCTTTTTGTAAACAATAAAAAACAAACTGAAATAAACAAACCCACTCTTGAAACTAACTGAAAATAAAAAATTAATAACAAACTAATAAATACTATAATAAAAATATAATAACTCCAGTGCCACTGGACTATTTTCAGCAATTACTATGGTGCGGAGTACAATGTTATAGTAACTGAAAGAGCCAATGGTTGGAGGCAAAATATAATTAAAGTCTTTAATGTGTTAAACTTTTTTTCTGTTGCCTGGACGAGTCAACTGACCCAATTCTGCTGGACTTGAGTCATGACTCACTTCAAGCCAATTTATCTAAATCTGACCTTCATCTGTATTTCATACAGCATGTGATGCTATACAGAAAACAACTGACAACGGACATTTCTTTGAAAAATGTATATCCCTTATTTTGACCGGCGAACATTAATCTGAACCACTAAATCATTTCCACCTTCTTAGTCAACGGGAATCCTAATACTAGACACTTCAGATACCTATTTGATATCACTGTCAGATATCAGTACCATAACCCTATCTACAGGGCGTCCATAGAAGGGCAGGATGTGAGGTATTCTATATTCCCATTTTCATGTTTATGTTTAGACATCTTTCTGGATATCTAGCCTGACCTGTGTGATGTGCTGAGTTCTGGTATCAACCACAGATTTTTCCAGTTCAGTCACTCATTTCTAACGTCACATTAACAGGACTATGTGATGTTAGCTCAGTTTGCTAAAAATTACATTTGGCTCGAGACTGATGAACTGTGTTACAATGGCTATGTTCAGACTGCAAGTCACCAACATCACATTCAACAAATAATTTGAACAGCCAAACAAAAATTGTATCTGACCAATAAATCCAAATTGATGGCTAAGGCTCGCAGTGTGATTATAGCCAATGTAAACTCACGAGGATGTCCATTTGTTGCATGCTTAATGCAACCCGGAGCCCTAGAACTTTCATATAGTGCCTTGTGCATGTTTTTTTTGCTTTAAAACCACACTGGTAAATTTAGCCTTGCTTTTAACCGAGGTGGATTACGGTTTGGAAAGAGCCATGGATGAGATGGAGCAGAGACACATGGGCTTCATCTCAACGCAATCATGACAATTCATGAACCATCAGCCTCTTATGTTAAAGGCAATGGATGAACCTTTACAATGAATTTGACTGAAATGGCATAAGAACTTAAAACTCCTGCTAAAAACTATAGCGTCATAATTCAATGTGGGTTTGGAGGAGGAGGAGGGGGGGCGGAGCTGTCGGAGCATGGGGTGGGTGTTGTATGCAGATGCAAAGAAACAATATTTACATGCACACTTCTAAAGATGTAGTTGTAGGGAGAATATTCACCATATTTTGTACTGGCTTGTATTCACTTCTTACAGCTATAGCCTGGTAATCTGGCTTCCCTGTCAGCAGACTAATGGTATGCTGGTTGGCCCTCTGCCTTGGAAGAAAAGTGGAAGAGAGACTTGGCAAAAAGTGTCAAGGAGCAGCGAAGGGGAGGAAGGGGGCTGAGGAAGAGGAGGGGGGAGGGAGGGGGGAGGAAGGGTCAAAGCTACAGAGTCGAAATCATTTCAGATATACACATAAAATGCTTAAATAGGTTTTTGTTTTTTTTAAATGTCTGTTGCTATTGGATTTGACCACCTGACAAAAGGGACCAATTGATATACTTAAGACAAAGTCAACGGGCAAACACAGAGCAAGGGGAAAAGCACATCATGAGGTTCGGCTTTTCAGTTGGCACATATCACACTCAAAGTCATTCGTGCTTGAAAAGAACAGATGAATGTCCTTAAGATTTACCTGAAAAACTAGCATTTTTACATTCTTATCATTATGATGTGGAGAACTTGCCTTCTTCTTTTGAGGTGGGTTGCTGGTGTGAGGAGGTGTTCCACTATCCGGGTAGCTTCCCCCATAATGAGGCTCACCATAGGGCGACATGGAGCCGGTACCCACGTCTCCCAGCAGCCCCTGGCCGCTTATGGAACTGTGGAAGGACTCTGCTGGGGAGAAGCCACCTTCTGACTGGGAGAGGTGGCGGTCAGTGGCCACGGGGTTCCCCAGGTTTGCATTGAGGGGGGAGCAGGTGTATATGAGGTTGAACTCTGTCTTGAAGGCCTGCTCCCTGTTTTGGGGGGTAAGGTCTAAGGAAGGACAGGACGCTGGGTTTAGGGAACTGGTCCCTACAGATGATGGGCCCTGGGAATCGTGGCCTGAAGGGCCTCCAGGAAGGGAGAAGTCATCGGAGGTCAGAGCCACAGGGCTCTCTAGGCTGGAGGGGAGCGACAGGTCTGGGAACTGAGGACGAGGGACGTCAAAGTCTGCCTGAAGACATGGCTGAAGGTGGGAAATAAACACAGAGAAGACAAAATTAATTAAACAAATCTAAGCAACAAGTGAGTAGTAGCATTAGCCATTACGCTATTAAGAGTTAATGGCAGAGATGGGGATGTACCTCAGGAGAGATGGACTCCGGCCGGTGAACAGGAGACGCTTCCGGGGATGATATGTTCTAGAGAGGAAAGCAAAGGTTATTAGAAACTTCATAGTGTGTCCCAAATATTACATATATTGGGACAACCTGCCCAGGTCCATTAACAGCAGATCAAGTTTCATTGGTGAGTCAAAGTGTTTATTCCAAAAAGAAGATTTAATTATGTCAAACAATATGAAGGTTCATTTGCATACAAACAGTAGTTTATCCTCAATGATTAACAAAGTTCCCCAGATATAATGTGGTATAATTACAAACACTAAATATACCCTTGGGAGAATTGAATGAGCTCACTTGGATCTCTTAGATTCACATTAACTTCATGCTGAAATTTACACATACTATACAATACTATCTGCCTATTTGGTAGGGGAAAGCCCTGCAGCCACTACTCAGCCAATTGATTACAAACCAACATTTATTTTATTGCAATTACTTCACTAATGTACTAAGCTGTCTGAGATGGATGTGCTCATGTGGGAAAGAAAAAGATGGTAGAACACCTGGGTGCAGTTTACCAAGTGAAATGGATATTATTGGGTTTACTATGTAAGCTCTGACAGACAAGTATGAGAAACTATGTCTGTGCTATCCCTTACTTCAAATTGCAGCGGTGTATTACAGCGGCTGGCGGGCAGTGAGGGCATGGGCGAGTAGGCCAGGCCGTTGGGCAGCAGGGAGCCACAGGGGGTGTGGAGCAGCGGGTGGAGGGAGTCCTCTGGGAGCGGTGGTGTGATGGGTGACAGCGGGCGGAGCAGGTGGTCCGAGGGTGTTGGTGTCGTCCCTGCCATATACTTTGAGCGGCGCTTCTTAAACGGTGCGCTGACTTCTGTGATTTTAAAAACATAAAATGTGGAAAACATAAAAGGGAGTTAAAAAAAGAAGGAAATACACATCTAGTATCAGGAAGGTAATGAAACACATGACTGCAATTACATAAAGAACTCTTCATTTAGTTGTACTTATAGTAACAGTAGTGTGGATGTACGTACCGCTGGAAAGGGGGTTAGGGGTGGATCTGCTACTGGTGCTTTGCTGGGAGGAGGTGGACTCTGTGCCATCCTCCACACTGGCTGAACAGCTCTCGTCCTCCAACTGCTTTATCCATCTCTGTATCAAAACAACAAGCATTGTCAGCTTAAAAAACAAAAACTGAGACATTTGTTTAAATTTCAAGATCAGATAAGCTTATTTAGACTTCACATAAAACAAAATAATAGAATTTAACATATTTTATAAACAAAATACATTCTTTACTCAAGTAGAAGTACAGATACTTTGTGTAAAAAAAAAAAAAAGACGGTAAAGGTAAAAGCCCTGATTCAACTTCTTTACTCAAGTAAAAGTGAAAAGGTACAGGCACTGAAATGTACTTACAGTATAAAAGTAAAAAGTACTCCCTTTGGTTTATCTGAAGGAGATTTCTACCGGTTGTTTCTGTGCAAAGCTGAAACTTCAAATAGGATCACGTCTCCCTATCTTGTCTGTTTCAACTTGTTACATCATTACATCTTTTTCAGCATCATCATGTGTGATATGCATCGATCTTCATGTTGGAAAGGTGTGCAAAAAAATAATCGATAATTCCTTTCAAATGCATTAAAACTAAAGTAGCTAGCCTGTTTTCAAAATGTAAGGAGAAGAAACTACAGATATGTGTAAAAATGTAGTGGGTAAAAGTAAAAACTTCTTAGAAAAATACTCAAGTTACAAATATACAGATATACTATACAGACTTCTGACAGCAGTAACACTAAATGTGAATTATACCCATTTATATACGCTATATTTTACAATCATACACTCTATAATATTTCGCTGCATCTTTCACCTTCTTGTAGCAGCCATAAGTGCCGTCCATTTGGAGTGGGCGGGGCCGGCGTCTCTCGGGGTTGAAGGGGGAGCCGAAGCGGACGTAGTGTCTGGGTGTGGTGCAGATGAGCGACGAATGGGAGAGGCCTGGCAGCATGTTGAGGGTGGTGGCCAGCACCGTGGGGTCAGTGGTTATCCGCAGCGGGCGCTCGACGGGCACCTCCTGGTGGACCTTTTCTCCTCCAGGGACCTTGTCATTCAACCACTCTGTCACCAGGTACTGACAGCAAAGTAAAACATTAATGATCAACTATACAAAATAATAAATATGATTAGGAATAGTGGACTCCATCTTAAAACAGCCACATTTCTACAAAGTCTAATGTCCTCTAACCTTCTTGGTCTTGGGGTAGCGCAAGTTGCCTCTATTTATGCAGTTTAGACCCTGGACATCTCCATCTAGGAGATGACCCCCAAGACCACTCTCTCCGTGGCCATGTTCAGCGCCATATGGACCCTGTGAGCCCTCTTCGTCGAGAGCAGCACCCTGATCGGCTGAAGATGGAGCCGCTCCCATGGCAGCGGCAGCAGCAGCGGCCGCTACCTGTTGGGCATGGGCTTGACGCTGCCGCCGGGCGCGCTGGGATGAGCTTGACCGGTAGCGAGAGATCCGACTTTTGGGTCGAGGCTTGGTGGGTCGTGCAGGTTTAGGGGGGGCAACTGGGGCGGGCAGGTTGGGTAATGATGTCTTTTCTTCAATAGATGGTGCTTCCTGTAAGAGAATGTAGAAAAAGAAGAGGTTAAATAGACGCAACAACAAAAACCAACTGACGGATCAACTCGATTCCTCTCACTGACCATGACATAGGTGGTGCGTCGCGTGCTGACCCCAGTGTTTTGGGGTGTGGGGGTGTTCCCTGTGGGGTTTCCTGCCCCGTCCTCAGTTTCCACGCCCTCCTCTTTTACCTCTGTTCCTCCCACTCTCCTCCGCCTCCTCTCCAAACTGTTACATGTCTTCATGAACAGGCAGAGATCCAAGGGGGGGGGGGTTAGACAGGCAGTGTCATTTTGTCTTTTGAATTACTGATGTATTGCTCGTCACACAGAACAAAAATATCTAGCTGTACTGGAAAATATTTTAAATGTCATACTTTTTTACTGGAGATGGTGACCCCGTTTTCATCCACCTCTCCCTCCTCTCCCTCCTCCACCTTCACCTCATCAAGCAGTCTCTCCTAATGGCACAGACAGGCAGCACATCAGGAGAACATCTCACCCAGCAGGAAGTACAAGCAATGTTTAGCTAATATAGGCTCATTTTCAACACACACACACACA